ACTTTGTTGATGACTGGGGGATGGTAACGACTCCAGACGAAACCAGGTTAATGACTCAGCTAACGAGTCACCTCGATCATTAGCATGATCCACAGAAGCTTAAATGTTTAGCTCCGCCCACCAGTTAGTTTAGTTTAGAGGTGAAACTTCAAGATCTTCAAACAAGTCCAGCTGTCTTTGGATCAAGCTTTGAATTGGCCTGGATGACGGAGAACCTACACAGACAGTTGTTGGTGAATTACACGTTTAAGTCAGAGAGGTAGGTTAATTAAAAAACAGATTGTTTTGATGTTACAGCCTTCTACGATTCACTTTTTGATTTGCTTCAGGTCCTGTAATTATCAATCTGTAATCATAATTATAATAAACTGTTTCTTTGATTGGAAACTAAGTCACTTCTTTGGTTTAGGGACGGCGGAGAGGACAATCCATTTTATCGAAGCTTGATCCAAAGGCAACTGGACTTGATGACAAGATCTTAAGACGAGTTGCCTTTGGGTCAAGCTTTGGATGACTGAGAACTTCACAGACACAATCCGTTTCAGTTGATCCTGGCCCCTCAAAAGGGAAGTGGATTTATCAGAGGGAAATCAGGGAAATATTTAAAAAATCTGTTCTACACAAACAAAGCAATATGTGAACGTTTGGGGCTGGGAGCAGCTTTGGTTGTCTGTGCATCCACTCCATAACTTCCTCAGGTCGAAGATAATGTCAATGCCAGAGTGAGACAGGTGTGACGCATTCGGTCTTAAAATGCAGCACATGAAGGCTGCGGCCGCTGGAACGAGACACACAGCTAACGTCTGTATTTTCATCTTCACAGGGAAAGTTGAACCTCCTGAATCTTCTGCTGGTGTCTTCAACGTTTAACCGCCAAACTCAACACAAACAAAAGGTTGTAGAGGCTGATGTGGATTCTCAAAGTCCAAACAAATACAAGTAAGAGAATCAACTCGGTTAGTAGTCGACATGTCACCAGGAGGAAAACACGTTCTGAGTGTGTACTCACTCTGCATTGGTGAAGGCCACCTCAAAGTTTTGCCTGCGGTTGCTGGGGCTCAGGCTGTCGTAGTCGAACGCTTCGGGGAAGAAATTGTGCACCAGGGCGCAGAAGGCCATGCCGTTACTCCAGCTGGAGGAGAAGTTCTGGATGTCCACGTGCTGAGGGAGAAGAAACCAAGCTTGTCAACATTTTCTCTCTGATACTGTTACTGATACTGTTTTGATATCACGCGTTTTAAAATGATACAATCTGTAATTTTAATTTGAAATTTATGTCTAAAATTGCAGAACGGTGGATGTATTTGTACAGTAAAAACAGTGTGCAGGATTTTGCAATTTTGTTATCCAATATTGGGAACCTTGGAGTTCAGTTTTTGTTGCTTGTATGACACGAGACGACACGATAAGCAGTATGTGTCCAACGATGACAATTAAGGTTGGCAAAGTTTTCGATACTTGTTTCCTTTCAATGCCAAATGTTTTACAACGAAACAATCTCCATTATTTAAGTAATTCATAATATCGAAAAGTACTAAAGCGTTAAAAAAAGTTCTAGATCTTAAAGGCTTTATATGTGATCTTTTGATCCAGCAGATGTCGCCCTTGAGCTCCAGCATGAAACCAAAACAACTCGCGCTGCATTGTTGTTAGCATGTTGTTGTTAGCATGCTAATGCTAGCGATCTTTATTATGCTGGTATCTTCACACTGCATGTAAATTTACCTGAAATGAGCGTGATCTAGAAACACAGTTAAGCAGTGAGTACAGTATGTTATTCTTCTTTTCTCTAGTCCCTCAATTAAACAACTTTTATACACGAGGGGAGGAGTCAGCCGGCCGTCCCGACGATGTAAACAAACTGAAGATAGGACTCTGAAAACTCTGAAAACATCACAGACAGTGGGACTCTGGTGTTACACCCATTGTAGACAGTCATGACTCACAGAGTTATTTTCAGAGGATATACTTGATTTATATTATATTTAAGTGTGAAACATCACATATAAAGACTTTAAAGAATTCATAATATCGGAAAGTACTAAAGCGTTAAAAAAGTTCCAGATCTTAAGTCATATTTTTAACACAAAGATGTTTCGAGTAAAACAGAGAGCACTGATTAAATTACACACACACACCACACACACACACACACACACACACACACACACCACACACACACACACACACACACACACACACACACACACACACACACACACCACACACACACACACACCACACACACACACACACACACACACACACACACACACACACACACACACACACACACACACACACACACACACACACACAATTTTAGACGTTGTGTGTCTGCAACTTCTGATAATTGAAAACAAAGAAACGTTAAATATCGGGGGGGGCTTTTCACTTCTATTTTGGTTGCCGTGGTAACATCACTTGATATCCCTGAAGTTTATAATTCTGGTATCGTGACACCCGTAGGAGAAACACAGAATCTGAACGGCTGGCGGAGAGAAGTGATGGAAAGTTTCTTTGGGTATAAATAGATGAATGTCTCCGCTGGCTGTGTCTTAAATCATCAGACTTAAAAGATAAGCACTAAGCCCACTGTGGGTTTGTGCGGCTCACCTCATACGAGCGGGTCTTGGCGCGGCACCAGTCCAGCAGCATCTGTTTGATGGAGTTGGCGTTGGGTACACCAAAGCTGGTGGAGCGCTGCACCTTGTTGACCTTGGCGACCGCCTGGTTTCCAGGGCTGAGAGAAAAAAAGTGAGCGTTAATATTTTACACGATCAAGACGCGCTTCCTTTTTCTTTTTCTTTCTCTGGTAGCACGAGCTCTCACCCGCCGCCCTCCTTCTCCAGCTTCTCGATCATGGCTTTGCGGGCCTGCATGGCCGAGGTTTTGGGGAGAGTCTGAGCCCTCATCAGCTCCTTACGCCTCTCCGCCTGCTTTCGCTCCACGGCGGCCAACCCTCCGCCGCCGCCGCGAGACGATGATTCATCCTCGCGATCGAAGACACTGAGGCGAAGACGTGAAGACGGTTAAAGACAAAAAAGGTTCATTTGTAAAACTTGAAAACTAAACCGTGCTGCTGGTTCACGACCTACCTGCCCACTTTTTTGGTTGTGTTGGAGGACGAGGAAGACGAGGAAGACGAGAAGCTGTATGACTTTGACTGCACGGTCCCCCCTACAAGAAGAAACACAGATGATATACAAACTATTCAACATACAGGAGGGTTACCATGATATCAGAATGTCAAACTCTGATACAACACTACTTCAAATATAACAACACTAATCACTGATTTGATACCACAGCAACAAAAATAAAAAGTCCTGGGGGCGCAAAATTGTGAGATTTCTTTTTTTGAATTATCAGTATAGGCTGTACGGTGGTACAGTGGTTAGCGAGGATGTTCCTGGTTCAAATCCCAATAGAACTTTAATTGTGGAGTTTGCATGCTCTCTTGCTGAGTATGAAAAAGTAAGTAAAGTATGACCAAAGAATTACATTTTATCAGCCCTTCATTACTTTTTGATACGAGTGATTATTTAAAAAAAAATAGATATTGTATTGTTTTAAAAGATGTAGTATCAAAGTGACAGACAAAGTAAACCTAACTTTACAGAACTGAATTAAAAGCCGACTCACTGTCTGTTTTCTGCATGTAGCTGGACTCCACGACAGTGCTGCGTGTCGATCTGCTGCCATCATCTAAACACACAGAAACACAATTTAAACTTTTCACATTATCAACAGGATCTGTTTCTTCACGACTTCTACTATTTGCTTTTACTAATGCGTCTTTTCTACATAATGAGAAGTGTTTCCCTTTAAGCTGCCAAAATACTTTTTGTGTCCTGAGATTCTAAAAGAATGTTCTTTTGTGTGTTTGTTCAAATTCAGGTGGTTAAATACGGGTTGAAGGAGGTTCAGAAATACCCTCTTATTGAAAAGTTAAATAAGTACCAGACTGGCGAAGCGGTCTGTTTTGGTGACTTGACTGAGGCTGGAGCCGTCTGCTGACTTCTCCACCTTCCTCATCACCATCTCTCCGGCTCCGGCGCCAGAGCGGGTCTTCTGTGCTCGCTCGTCCCTCTGGTTCCTAAGGTCCTGCAGACGGGTCTCGCGCTCCTTTTCTCTTTGGTCTGTGAGAGGAGAGGAGAGGAGAGGAGAGGAGAGGAGAGGAGGAGGGGAGAGGAGAGGAGAGGAGGAGGGGAGAGGAGAGGAGAGGAGAGGAGAGGAGAGGAGAGGAGAGTGAAAAGGAGGAGAGGAGAGGCGAGTGAAAAGAAGGAGAGGAGAGGAGAGGAGAGGAGAGGAGGAGGAGAGGAGGGGAGAGGAGAGGAGAGGAGAGGAGAGATGATGTCAGTGGAAAAAAAAGGAGGAGGCCAAGAGGTCCTAAACAAACTGACAGCAGCTCATCTGACAGCCACAGCGATGGATTAAAACACGTCTTCACAATTTACAGGACGATACGTTTCAAACATTCTTTCCACAGCGGTGTTTAACTCCATCTGAACACACAAACACTTTCAGGTGGAAGGCTCAAAGAAGTTATATTTACCAGCACAATTATCACAGATCAAAGACAACAAACACACTCAAATCGTCCCCTGTGGAAGGCTGCGCAACGTTCAGTGAAGTCCAAAATAATGGTTAATCTGCAATCTTCTAAATCTAGAAGTCACCTCGGCCTGGTTCTGAGAGATTTCTTTTAGAGATTTTTTTAGCCTTCATTATTAAAGGACATTAGGACACTGGGTAGAGTAAGAAACCAGAGAGAGAGAGAGAGAGAGAGAGTGAGAGAGCGAGAGAGAGCGAGAGAGAGAGAGAGAGAGAGGAAAGACATGAGGGAAAGCAGCCACAGGTCGGACTTGAATCCCGGCTGCCAGCTTGGAAGACGATAGCCTCTGTTCATAGGGAGTGGTTTAACCGCTAGGCCATCTGCACCCCTCTTTAAAACTTGTTTTTTTTTAGATTTATTTTGGGGCTTTTTATGCCCTAATACAGAGAAAGGCCAGTGGATAGAGTCAGAAATCAGAGAAAGAGAGAGAGCGGGGAATGACATGCGGGAAAGGAGCCACAGGTCGGATTCTAACCCGGCCGTCCATTTTGGAGGACTATGCCTCTGTACAAGGGGCTTGCAAACAAACCACTAGGCTACCGGCTTCCCCTGAACATTTTTTGAAAACTGATAAGAATGTATCCAGCTAAATTTCAAATAAATACTGGATAGGATCAAGCTGATCCATATGCAGACTTTCAAGGATGACCACAGGGGGCGCCATAATCTACACAAACCAAAAGTTCCTCACAGCTGCTTCAAATTGATGTTTGATTTTTGCAGCTGTTTGATAAAATAGTTTAAAATCCTTTATTTAGTTCTGAAAATTGTCTAAAGTAGCATCATGTCAACATTTTTATTTCATTTTCTTCCCGTCATCCAGTCTGGATCTGACCCGCTGCTCGGGACAGAATAACAGATATTTTAGATCGAAGTCATTCAAACTCTGCTGAAAAGTTTCTAAACAACATGAATAGATACAGTATGGATTAATAAGGAACAGTTTGTCACACATTTTAATACTACTGCTTATTGTTCCTCGTATCGTGCAGGCCTTCTTTACAGACTCTTCATCAACGCTGTGGTGACTGTGACACATTCCTCATTAAAACAGTATTTCATGCATAAAACAAAACTGTGAACATATCCTTCATCATCCACCACACTGACTGTAAAGCTTTAACTGTTTGGATGTTGTGTTGTGGTCTGACGATGATAGGATGGTGCACACAAACAAAGTCAAACCCAGGCAAGTCTCTGTGGTTAATTCACACTGCACACCAACCTGCCCTACCTATTTCCTCCTGAGTACATCCCAGCATGACCTCTGAGGGCAGAATGGACAGAAATAATGTGGAATTGCAAGTTTTGTTCAAAACTTTTAAACAAACGGAAAGGAAGAAAAAAAAAAAAAGGTATTTAAAAATGCTCATGTTTGATTTTGTGTCTTCCTTGTATGACTTCAGAGAGCAGCAGACGTGACATTATGAACGCAGAGGAAACAGACGGAGGATTTGTTACCTCTCTTTTTCTTGCGAAGGTCCCTCATGGCTGCACGAATCATCTTCCTCTCCTCAAAGTCTTTTGACTCGTCGAGCTGTTGGGGAGAAAGAAAAAAGGAGCCACAAAGACACACAGTGAGATGTTATTCTTTACACAAAGTCACAGTGGCAAGGCTCTGTTTGTGTATGCAGTTTCAACATAGCTTTATACAATAATACTTAATGTACCCTCCCTGAACTGCTGAGAGTAAGAAGTAACACATGAACTTTGTAACTGACCGGAGTCAGGAGAAAAAAGTGCTTTTGAAGGTAAATACTTGGATGTGAGTTACCATTTTATCGAGCAGCTCTTCGTCCTCCACCGCAGCCAGCTGTTCAGCTGTCAACTTTCCGGAGCGTTCCTCGGGTTTGGACTGGACGCTGCTGGAGCCATTGGGGATGGCGGGGGCGTGACAAGCCACTGTGACGGACGGTCCAGCTGAAAACACTGGCACAGAGGCCACAGCGGGCTCGGTCTCCATCTGCAACAGAAACACACAAAACAAATACACACAGAGCATGAGCATGAGCACACACACAACTGTAAAAGCATGCTTTGATACATAAATGAATGTCAGACTGCAGAGTTCAGAGGTAATATTTACGTTCATTTTAAAGGCTTTATATGCTTTATTATTTTTCACTCTTAAATATAATAAAATCAAGTATATCCTCTGAAAATAACTCTGTGAGTCATGACTGTCTACAATGGGTGTAACACCCGAGTCCCACTGTCTGTGATGTTTTCAGAGTCCTATCTTCAGTTTGTTTGCATCGCCAGGACGGCCGGCTGACTCCTCCCCTCACGTATAAAAGTTGTTTAATTGAGGGACTAGAGAAAAGAAGAATAACATACTGTACTCACTGTTTAACTGTGTTTCTAGATCACGCTCATTTCAGGTAAATTTACATGCAGTGTGAAGATACCAGCATAATAAAGACACAACAATGCAGCACGAGTTGTAAGCCGCATATAAAGCCTTTAAGGAACCCAGTTAAGATGATTGTCTCATAAAAATCTTCTTTTTATGGCTTTATTTCCTCTTCAAATTCAGATTCTTTATTGTCCCTAAAGGGGACATTTGTTTTGCAGCAGAAGAACACAGAAGACAACACAGAGGCCAACAATATTTTGTATTCTAAGGTTGCTCCATTTCCTGTGCGGATAAAAAAAAGTTGTTTTAATTTGAAAGAGAAAAAAAAGGATCTTCTGGAACATCAAGAGTTACAATAGAAGGTAAAAAAAGACAAAGGGCCGGTACAAAGGGACATGTTTGATGTTAAGCATCCCAAGATTAGGCATTACTTACTTTTTTTTGTTTAATTAAAGTTGCCTTAGTTGGACTTGTGCATTGTAATTTAAGCGCCCTCCTAACCTGGGGCTTTTATTCTGACACTAATGAAACATAAGTAAATCTTCCTGGCATTAGGACATTATAAACACAAGAGGATTTCGTATGTTGTCACACTGCAGCCATAATAGGCCCGAGTGTGTGAATCAGGCTCCCTCTAATAATCTCTCTTCTTGTACAAAGCCTGCCCACTCACCACATCTCATCATTTCTAACATCTCCTTCCCCTTCCAGCTGTGCCAGAGAGAGCGAGAGAGAGAGAGAGTGACAGTAAGCACATGAGAGCGAGAGCAAACCCTGCCAAGTTACTGTTAGAACAGTCCATGGAGTGTGACTGATGCCCCACAGGGTCTAAATGCGACTGAGCATGTGAGCAACATGTCAGAGTGACAGGTACGGTACACCAGTGTGACCGGAACAGGAGGTAAACTGAGAGGAAACACATCGCTAACTCAGACACAGAAGGAGGAGGAGTGTTGGGAGCGAAAGTTAAGAGAGAAGAGCGTACCTAAGACGAAGTGAAGAACCATGAGGGGTGGGACGTAGACTAACTAACGATACAATACAAAGAAATACTGTATGTGGTCCACAGTAACAGCCATATTGTGACACAGCAAATCTCAGATAATTGATATATCACGACAGTCATATCATGATCCATCACTACATCTGATCAACTGAAGAATATAAAATGAACTCCTGGCCCTCCTTTAACCTCTCTTCACCGCCGTCTTCTCCTTTGGCCAATTAACTTCTGTTCACATTATCATCATTTGTGTTCTTTGCACGGCTGTCATATCATCAAAATCACTTTTTTTATTATTTTTTTTATATATTTGGCACCAGCAATTTTATTTTTGTATCCTGAGTCAGAGCAATGATATATTGCTGTATAGATATTTTGTCCAAGTTTTTATAAGAATAGACTGAAAGTTACAGTTTAAGGTAAACCATGTCTATGTCGAATATTCTACAATTCACTTAGCAGACGCTTTTATCCAAAGCGACGTACATCAGAGAGAAAGAACAACACAAGCAAGGATCTAGAAAAAAGGGAACAATGTCAGTAAGAGCAAACGATCAGCTTTGAGTCTGATTGGACACACAGGTGCTGACAGGAAGTGACCAGAGGCAAAGCACAACATTGAGGGCAGTTCTTGAGAGCTCTAATCAGTATAGAAACCATCTTATAAGTCATCGTTATCAAACAAAAACCATCGTCATTACCATCATCATCATCAATAATATGGAGACCATCATCATTAAGTTAGCAGGTATTCATGAAAGAGCTGGGTCTTTAGCTTTTTCTTAAAGGTGCAGAGGGACTCTGCAGATCAAATATTCTTCCCAATCATGAATCCTACAGGAAAACATCAGTGAACTTTTCATATGAAGCTGAATGCCTGTGGCGGTATAAGTATGGGCTCTGGATGATGCTTTTGTTGTCACTGATTCCTTGGTACAGATTTAGCTCAAACAGCTGATCCATCCTCTCTGTGGGCCCCAGTTAGACCCGGTCTGAGTGAGGGACTGAACCCAGCACAGCCGCAGTGATCACTGGTGGTCGCTGGTTTCGAAGAATTTTCTGGCCTCGGGGACAGAACTGACTGAGAAGAACTTGACCGACGGGGAATGTTTTGATACACAACACAGCCAAACAAAGTCATTGAGCGAGTGTATGAAGGGGTGAAAGGGTAAATGGTCTGTGCTTTTATAGTGCTCTTCTAGTCTCGTGACCATTCAAAGCTTGAGATTAAACCGCCAACCTCCCGTCTGAGAGATGATGGACTCAGCCACAGAAAAGTCTCAGATAACCTTCCTTCTCCACTCATCTTTAATTCAGTGTCCTCACCAGCTGAGTCACAAAAAAAGTGCCACAAAATGCTCCTCTATAGAGTCGATTCACCTCTCCACCAGCAGGATTACAAACAGCTGACATCCGGGGGGCATAGCTAATATTGCACAAAGGCATAATAACAAATGGACAGATAAGGTCACCCTTCATTATCTCAAACATTTAGGGGAAGCCTGCCACCTTTTACTAGAACAGCTGATTGGCAGACCCAGCTGTCTTGGTAGGATTAGACATGAATATGAACTCTGGCTTGTTGAATGATTGACGTTAGTTCTGCAAACATTCAGTAACCCTTCAAAATGTCACCAGTCCACATGCATACACAGAGTTTGTTTTAAGGATTCAAGGCTCAAGATGAGGCCGAGTATCAATCTCTTAAAATCCCACTCTTGTTCTGAAGCGAGACAAGTTGAATCTTTGCATTTATTGCTCTTTTTAAAGATGCCAAATTCATGCCAAAGTAATTTTAATGGATGATATTCTCTACCAGGAAGTGAATCCACCCAACAGGGCACTTGGATGCACACACTCACACACACACTCACACACAGGAGTGCTAGCCAGGACACGATCAGAAACACATGGTGATACAGGGTTGGAATACCACCATGACAGATTGCAATGAAGTCCTCTACATAAACACAAGCTGCCAAAGCTGACTGACAGCTGAGATGGTAAAGATTTTTTTATTTTAAATGAAGTGGGTGTCAGATTAAAACAAACGGCTCAAAGCTCAAAGACGAGGGACATCGGGTCAACAAGCAGAACTTGGGTGGCTGAACTCGTCAACACTTGAACACAAGACATACCCATTTATAAAGCGGCTCATCTGCATTAAAAGGGGTCATGATCAAAGCTTTAACAGAGAGCAGTACCGGGCTGTTGGCGCAAGAATATCCACCATCAAGGAGGGGGCAGAGAGGGAGCGGCGGGTTGCAAATGTAGGTGGGTGTTGGACGGTTGAGGGCTCCAAATTCTTCGGTTTGTCCGTCCCATTCGTTACAGAGTCTGATTCCTGGGTACATAAGAGGGGACCCTGAAGATCCCCTGATGCATCTTGAAGATTGCCAGCTTCAGTGTTCTGTGGTGCACTGGATGCAGAATCTTCGGGGGTGCAGGCGGAAGCATCTTGAGGTGTTTCGAGTGCAGGCTCGTGAGCTGTGCAGTCTGGAGGATCACTGGAAGAAGATGCAATTTCACTGGACAAAGTTGGAGGGTCATTGGTTGGAGTTTCAGCATCACATGGAGCTGAAGGGGAATTTTCCTCGCTGTCGAGTACCTGTAGACCCAAGGCTTGGCACAGGACTTCCACTTGCTTCATAAGTCTTTCCTGTTGATTCCTCAGCCTCGAGTTCTCCTCCTGCAGCCTGGCAAGAGCCTCAGCCACAGGAAGCACCTGAGCCGCTGCCTCCTCCAGACGGACATCCACCCGCTTCCCAAAGTTCTGCAGGTCACTATGGATCTCCCCCACTGCACACCGTAAAGTCAATTCAAATTTACTCTTGTTAAATGGCTCCTCTTGATCCTCTTCTTCATCTTGTGCAAGCAAATCACCGATCACTTCCTCCAGTCCAGATTCGGCACAAGTGCTGTCCGGGCTCCCCAACTCCTCTGAAGCCTGGGAGGCTGGGAGGAAGTCCAGATTCACTCCAGGCATGGCTGGACTCACTTTTGCTCAATGTTCAACTGGCTGAAGTCCTTTTAGTTAGTTATATCCACGGGACAGTCCCAAAGATGTGAGGCTGCTGGTGTACTCACTGTCCAGCTGTCTATAGGGACCTTCCAAAACAATGCCTGTCCTTTATAACCCCCTGCAAATCTCCCCTCTTTACTGGTTAACACGCTGACAGCCAATGAGCACGCAAGGAATCCTGTTTCCCAGGCAGCAGTGGACCAACCCCCTTGTTCCCAGGTGTTGTGGACATGTCTATTTATCTCCTGCCCCACCATTATTCCACTGATCCAGTCAGTCCTGGGGCACTGGTGGAAGGCCAGAGGGGGAATGGCAACGGCAAAAATGTGAAAAACTCGCCCCTCCCTCTTTCAAACCCTCCTTTCATTTGGAGGGCTTGTCCTTCACACTTCTCTTGGCAGGCAATGAGGGTTTAGATGTGGCTCTGTGCCTGGGTCGAGTAGTCATTTGTTGCAATGTCACTCATCTACAAATTAGTCCTGAAAAACTCAGCTCGGCCCCGGCTGTAATGAGGTCAGTTGGGTTGCATGACTGTGATTCAAGAAAGATCGTCCATAAAGGGATAAAGTGTTGAGGGTTAAT